ATGGAGACTGATAATTCGACTTCTCAACCAGCTACACCTAAAAGACGGTATGTTATATTATTTTCTCTGTTAAAATTTAATTTTCTTTTTTTCCGTCTTTAGTCGTCAACCATCATCAACAGATGCTCCTCAAGGTGATAGTGGTAGTGCAATGAAACGTCAACGACGTCCAGCACGAAAAGTGACTGGTGGTGATGATGAAAGTGCACCAGTAGTATCACAAATAACAATTAGTTCAGCTCGATTAGATGTATTTAAAACACATTTATCAACATTCATTGATCGACAACCATCAGTAACAACTCAAGAAATTTTTGATTATATGAAAGAACATGATTCAACATTTAATGAAGATGAAATTCGAATGGCTTTAGCAAAAATGCAAGATGAAAATCAAATTATGTTAGCTGGTGAAATCGTTATTCGTATTTAGTCAGATGTACAAATAGATAGATATATATATATTTTTCTTTCATTCATCTCAAAATATGATGTCAGATAGATTATTTTTGTTATGCCCAGAATGTGCACTTGTATGAAATATCTTTCAACTGAATGCAGATTTATTATTTTTTTTTCGTTCCTATGTGTGTTATATATATATACCTGTGAATCAGATAGAAATACAAATCTTATCATTAGATAAATAAATATATATTGAATTACTGAACATTTTTTTATATTTGTCAGTCAATATATTAATATGAACATTGCAATAGACAAAAAATAAACAGTCCATTTGAGTCTTACGTAAAATTAGTTTTGTCGAAAAGTCTTTATATTGTATCGATCTATACTTGGAAAACAATTTGACATGGTTCGCCGATAACTGCCCCAACGGTGAAGTGTGTGAACACCGATATATTAGTTAATTGAGGCTTTCTAGGATGGTAGTAAATACTGATATCAAATGCCGGGCTTCAACATAAATTTTTAATTCTACAAGTTGGAAAAAGTCCTACGAATTTGAAGTCATATAAATATAATTATCTGTTCTTTCGAATTCTATCATTCAAAAAATAGCTAGACAAGATATATACGATCTCCATTTTACTGTGTACGCTTACGAACGTATACAATCATAATACTAAGGCTTCCTGATCGAACAAACATGCTCTTAAACGGCCATAGATCGTTGTTTTTTGGCCTATTATATGGTTCGTATTAAAAACGTATATTTTCATTATCGTACATGGCTTTTGTCTACAAATATGATAAACAAACTTTTTTTATCTCAATAAATCACTATATTTCCTCCATACATGATACGGAGATAAACGTTCATAATACTGAATCATGTAAAACGTAGTATTGCTTTGTATACTGTGATTTACGATAGTGCTTGTTTCATTTGATTATTTGAAAATCTCATGTATTTTTACAGATATGATTATTTTCATTAAAAATTAACCTCAGCCAGCTAATGGACACTTAAGTTAGCAGGCGAACATATTCTGTTGATCTTCTATTCACGATGTGAATTTATTTAGTATCTGTCGAGACAACATTATTAAAAAACAAAAGATCAAAACTTAACCTTCATTCTATTTTTCTTTAGTATGAATTACTTTAAATGGAAAATCCTACTACGGATATATTTACACCCTCAGGTTATGTCAAAAAAGTTCAAATATAATGAAGATCTGTGAAAAGTCAGATCATCTAGCAAATCTTTGCAGTATAGTATATAGCGACTTTTGATACAATAAAATTAAATGAGCTTTATTTTTCACAAAAATTGTTTCTTGATCGAAAATACAGATAAGAGACTGAAATGAAATTTCTACTCTCCTTGTAAATAAAATAATTGAGTATAGACTATGTCCCTTGTTTATGACTCTCGAATAATTTGAAAAGATGTAATGTCAAATACATCTAAAGTGTCTTCTAGTGAACATAAAATCATAGCAACGCTAGCTATACTCATCCTCACTATCACCCTGTGTTCAGGCAAATAGCATGTGTTATGCACTATTGACTTGCCGATATGGAAGTTTCCGAATATGTCTTCACTATTCCGAAATGTGCAATGAAGAAGGAACCCTAAATCATAATTCGCTCTACTCTCAAACAGTAGATCGCCGTTTGTCATCCTGATGCCAGAGAAAGTCTAATACTTTGTGAATTAGTTTTTTTTTTTATTCAACGAGACACCTGAAGCAGTCTTCAGGTGTTGCATAGCAAATGATAACGCAATGAGTGTAGTGTACGAAAAATTAAAAGTTTTTTTTCAAAGTATATGTCCATGTTCTGCCCCTTGCATGTAATAAACAAGTATTCAATGAAAATTACAAGAGCTGTATTATCTGCTGATCAGTCAGTACAAAGACGCTTCTTTTTTTTTTTTTACGAATATCAAGTCTTATTTCAGTTTGCGTGAGACAAGTTTTATATCTCGCTCGACCTCTACAATGCTCGGATGATCTGGTGGTAGTGCTTGACGAAAGATATTAGCAGCTTTTTGTAAGTATTTTAATGCTCCATCGAACTTGCCTTTGTCTGCATATACGGCAGCCATATTTTTATATGATATTCCAATGTCAGGATATTGTGGCGGAAGTGCCTTCAGCTTATTGTTGAGTGATCGTTCATGGTATTTCAACGAGAGATCAGAGTGACCGAGAGAAGCATGAACAAGGCCAAGGCTATTGAAAGAATCGACCAGATCAGGGTGATTGGAAGGTAGATATTTCTGTTGAATAGTGAGCGACTTCTCGTAGAATACAAGCGCCCGTGCGTTTTCTCCTGCTTGGTGATAGACGTGAGCAATGCTGTTGTAGAACTGTGCAATCTTAGGATGATTTTTGTCACATACGAGTTCCAAAAGTGATTCAGCTGTACTGTATGATTGCAATGCTCGTTTACGATGACTTTTCTTCCAATAAATCTCACCGATTGATTTGTGTATGCTACCAATCTTGACATAATCAGATGAGCAAATTTGCATACAGATACTGAGCGATTTCTCGTACCATTGCAAGGCGACATCGTAATTTCCTTTAGAGTTGGCCACCAACTCAAGGTTAAAATATAGGTCACCAATCGACGTATGATTCGAAGGAAATTCGTTTAGCGCACGCAAAAGGTATTTTTCCGCCAGATCATATTTGCCCATTTGTTGTAGAACCATACCTAATATCTACGAGATAGGTTGTGATGTGGATGTGCAGGTATGAGTACTATTCTCAGTTACGTCTACTGGAGTCCTTGAATTTCACCCAGCTGGATCCGCGGGTTAATGGGAATTGAATTTTTGGAATGCATTGGATATTTGTTCATTTCATGTTTCTTAACACAATCCATTGTGCTCTTGGTACTTTCTTACGGTTGATGTAAAAGTCAATATTTTATAAAGCCATCGGTACATATTATTGATAAATACGATAGCGATGGTTCAAACAATACTGAAATGATTACATAACTTATCGTTTGTTTATAAAATACCGACAAATCCATTAGAGCTCAGATAGATCATTGTACTTCCATACTTCAGATTAACTGTACAGTTCTACATAATATCGTCTCAGATAATAATGAGAAATTACTATACTGTTATACTATTTTGTTTTATTTAACTTTTCCAAAATGTTAAGCGATAACATTTTATGTAACTGTAATTGGATAAGTGTTGATCCTTTTTAACTTTCTGGTAGACATGTTTTAAAACGAACATTAAAAATAGTTTTCATTCCAAGACGCTCTATTACAAGCATTTATGCATTAACTATTGTATTACTTTCTATTTTTGTTTCAAAATAGTTCTATCAATATGATACAAGGGTCTTCATCCAAACCCTCGGTTTTAAATCATGCCTTAGTCATCAATATTTTTGAGAACTCTACAATTTTAACATAGCTTCTTAGTAAAGTCGGAACCATAACACCTGATATCTTATAAGCACATTGCACTATACTGATTCAATAATCTATGTCAGTTGTGAAAGATTTGCTGATACTGTATTTAAGAGTATTCTTATTCTAATATCGGTGTAGACGAGAAGAAAACAGCAGAAACTTCAGTCTTGAAGTCTCATAAAGGCTTTTGAAATCTTGAAGTCTGTTGTTTTTTCTCGATTTCAGAACAAATGAGATCTTCTGCATGCCACTTTGAGGTATATTCCGTATCTTAATAAAAATCTTAGTCTTTATTTTATAGTCATATTCAAAGAAAATAGTTAATCTACTATAAATAAACAAGGAAGACTTTCGTTTTGGGTCAGTTGCAAATTTTGAAAGTTAAACTCGCGCAGAACTTCAACAAACACATCTCACATATCCCATGACTTTTAAAGATATTTTTTTGCTTTCATATCAAATAATCTAACTTAAATAAGATTGATAATAGGACAGTTATTACATGTTGATTCTTTTCGTTTGTATGAATGTTTCTGTGATGTATTTTACTATTTATGACACGATCAAAATAAAATGATTCAGTTTTCTTCATTTCAACGCCGTCTGAAAACTGCTAACAAACAAGAGCCATTCATTCGTTAGTCTGATTATATTCCATTAAGATATATAATGAAACTCATAAAATTTTCAAGTCATCCATTCTATTCTCAATTACTTCTTTTTTCTTTTTCGTTTCTTTTTTGTCCAAGCATGAGTCGGTGTTCGTTAGTTTTTTGTCAAGTGATAGCGTGTTATTGCTTGCACCTGTTATAACAGATTCAATTACACTTTCGAGTGTTTTATTTAAAGTGTAATACAGCATGTTTTGTTTTTATGGGGAAAATAATGTAAACCTAACGAATATTGGGTAATTACTTGATATTGCGAAATTTAAAGATATTGTTATATATCATAGAATTGCGAAAGGTTCTTAATAAGTGATAAAAAAGAAACAACCGTTAATAAAATGGTGATGTTTTTCAATCTAGGAATTAGTCTGTTAGCGGAACTTGATCATATCGTTTCTTTTTACTTGTTAGTTATATATTGTAAAAAGTCGATTAATTTTTTATTCTTAGTCATCGTTCTGTATAAACCATTCAACAATGATAATCGTATTGGTTATTATTGTAGTTCTCTTAGCAACAATTTATATTTACTTCAAACGAACATATTTTACTCCTCATGATTCTTTACCAGGCCTATCACCACAATTTTTAGTTGGCAATCTTAGGCAAACAGGTATCACTGGTGGTAAACCTCCAGCTGTGGTTTTCTTGGAATGGCAAGAAAAATATGGTGATGTCTTTCAATTTTGGTTTGGACCAATGCCTTTCGTTTGTGTGTGTGGAATTGAAGATGTTCAACATATATTGACTCATCGACACATTTATGAGCAAGGCGACTCACGTTTGCATAAACAAAAACTTTTATTTCATGATTCTCTCGTCTGTAATATAGGTATATAACACATATTCTTTCTAAAAATTGATAAGACCAAGATAAAATCCGTTCAAAAGTTATGCACACAGGAATAAATGAAGATTTCATACTGCATATTTGATAGTTAACTTTTATTGAGTATGAACACATTTGTTTTGTTATTTGATTAATTAATTTTTTTTTTGAAAAAGGAGTATGAACGAACATGAAAGCTCGTAGGGTCCAAAATTTTTGAACTATATTCGAACCTCGTAAACCAAATTTTTCAGACTTGACCGAAGCGTATTTTAATACTTTCAATGAAGTTTTCTAATTGGATTCGGTAGTCGCTCCGAAGATACGAGATACTTTTTATCAGCTTTTCGTATTTGGTCACTATCGCACTCTATAAATTTCTCACACGACTAGAACCTACGAGGTCCAACATTTTTGGACTCAAACCGAGTAGGGTTTCGATTCAGAATCAACCCAATGAACTCTAATGGACATATATCTTCTTTTCGTTATTTGTTTCTATTATAGGAGCAAAGCATAAACGTCATGCAGCTTTAACTGTTCCACTATTTCGTCGAGCTAAAATCATATCAAATTTGAACTTAATTGTTAATTGTACTGACAAATTAATTGATCAATGGCGTTCAAAAGCTGAAGATCCTACGTATGTGCATCTGGACATATTTACCAAATGTCAAAATCTTCTACTCGATATTTTTGGTTTTATTGCATTCGATTATGATCTTGAATGTTTGGATTCAAATGCAATCACCAAACAAAATAAGCTTACACAGGCATTAAGCAACTTTTTGGATGTTTTCATTCTGACAATGCGTATGCCCATATTTATGATAAGAGTGTATTTAGCAACTAGTTCTCGTTATCGAAAAGCAATCTCTACTATTCATGAATATTTCAATCAAATGATTGAACAAGAACAAAGAAAGACACCTGAAGAGATTGTTGAAAAAAAGAGAACAAGCTTGATTACATCACTTGTTGGATCATTGCAAAAGGATGAAAAAAATGAAGCAGCAAAACCTGAAGAAGATAAAAGAGGTAATCATATCAGTTGAAAGTCTTAATTTTAAACAAGTTTTTTTTCTCTAGTATACTTGATTAAAAGATAAGTGAGCGTATAAGTATGCATTTTTACTTTAGTAAACAAGAGAAATTAGTAGTTTTTATCGATCTGAAATGAAATTCAATAATTTTCATGCTTTAAACAGGATATTATATTATTCCGTAAACGATTGTTTTCCAAATCGTTGAGTATGTTTCTCTTGTTTAGGATTATCTAGGAATGAAGTGTTTGACGAAATGTTGCTATTCTTGGTGGCTGGCTATGAAACTACAGCATCTGCTGTAGCTTGGTTTATACATTTGCTCAGTAAAAATTCGCGAGTTCAAAGGAAAATCAAAGCAGAGTTAGCACAAAATACTCAGTATAAACTTTCAATAGATCAACTTGATTTTCTTGTTTATTTGGATTGTGTTATTGAAGAAGTTCTTCGATTTGTTCCGCCTACAAATGGAACGACACGAACATTGACAACTGATGATCAACTTCCTCACAGTGGAATAAAATTGCACAAAGGTGATCAAATCATGATATCCTTTCATAATTTGGCACGGGATAAAAGATATTGGAATATTGATCCTGAATTATTCTATCCAGAACGTTTTCAACTAGAAGACAAAGCTCATCATCCATATGCATTAATTCCATTTGGGGGTGGTCATCGCCAATGTATTGGCCAAGATTTAGCAAAATTTGAATTCAAAGTCATTGCAGCTAGACTTATGCAACATGTTACATTTGTAGATGGAGGACCTGAAGTTAATCAAGGTGGATATGAACAAAAATTAACGATTGTACCTCGACATCTAGGAGTTACAATTACTTTCGACTAATACTCTTTGCAAAAAAAAGTTAATTTTTGTGTAAACATAAAAATTGAAAGAATAACTAGTATTGATTGACATTGACAAGTAAATAAATAGTCTAAATAATAAAGAAAACATAAAATAATTACAGTATAAGTGCGAGGAAAAGATGATAGCCAATCAAACATAGTAACCTATTAAACGTCTTCTTAGAGAACATTGGTTACTATAGGAAATTACATCATAAAAGGTTTGTATACGCATTTCTATGTCTAATTCATGTTCATTAGTTACTGTAAGAAACTACCTATACTTTTTTTTAAAAAGTACGAGGTTATTTATTGTGAATCTCCATCATTTATTTCAATGGCTATTCAAGAAACATTTTTTTAATGAAATAATTATATTAACGTTTCATGCTTGAGTCCTAAGAAATATCTATTTTCTGATGAAATGTAAATATTTTTTTTATTACTTTTTTTCTACTTTTTTGCATTAAGAGCATTATTTCTTCGCTTGCCATTTTTTGTAGGAGCACTACTTTTAACTTGAATGAATAAAGTTCTCATCAAAGTATCTTCAGCTTTTTGTATAGGTTTTTTCTGGACCACTACAGTCTATGTGAAAATAGTTAAGCGTAAAATAAGTAGAGAAAGAGAATGACTGAGCAGATTTTAATATTTCCAAACATTTAAATCAATAAAAATAGTTTCAGTTTATATTCTACTTTGCTCCCATATTTAACAATACTAAGGGTTACAGAAGATAAAAAAACAATAACTTCGAAGTATTATTTCATTTTTGAATGTATATCATACAGCGAAAATGAGGAAACAAAGAGAACAACGTCCAGAAAAAACAAGATTTTTTTCACCTTTGAGTTTTCGTTTGATATCGTGTAATAATAACATGAATTAATCACCTTCATCATAAATCATCGACTAAGTTCTTATTATTGTGAGAATTTAATAAATTTTGAAGTAAAAAAAGCTGACATTTTACAAAAGATTATGATAAGAAAAATTTTAATTTTTATCAAAAAGTGATTGTGAACAAAACTTTCATGAGTTTCATCATTAATTATCATTGAAAGTGGTATAAGTTATGCTTTTTCTTATATATTTCTGAGACTTGTTGTTGGCACTTCTGAGGTAAATGTCATCAACCGATGAGTGATATTCATCAAAAAACTCAAAAATTGCAAATATTAATATATTGGGCACTGTCTGATTTTGATCTGGAATGAATCAAGCTCAACGATATATTAATATATGTAATCAACATTTTTAACTAACACAATTGTTATGTATCATGTACTGTTTAGATATTCTTTTTCCTTTTCGCATTCTTTAATCTTCTGTTCTATTAATGGGGTTATGAACTAATCAACGTAAAGTGTTTCTTCTTTTTAAGTTTTATATTTTCATCTCTTCATCAGATATTTCTTTTGCTTGATCGGTACTCTTTCTCACCTGTGGAAAACAACTTTATTTTATAAAAATATACCAGTGAAGGAAGACGATTAGATATTGACAGAAGTTTTATGTTTAATTGATGTCAACCAATAAACAACTATGAAGAAGAAAATTTTGTGTTTACAGAAGCTGAAAATTAAGTAGAAAATCCAGCTCTTCTTTAGTTGAAGTTAGATGTGTAAGCCGATCGACTGAACCACTGTCACAGGTGCAACACAGAAATAGATATTAAATTTAAAATTTTTGTTCTACATCTCAAATCAGTTTTTGGAGATGCTACCGTCTAGTTTCCTGTCCATACGTTCTCTACCATTGTTTTCTTTTTTTTTTTCATTCCAAAATTTCTTGAAATGAAAAGAATTTTTTTTAATTCATCGAAAAATGTCAGTCGCTGCCAATCAATACGTTGGCTTATACTTCTAACTGAAATAAACTCTATTCAGAGTTAGTAAAATTGCTAAATTATTTTGCTATGTCCTGGTCAAGTAAAACAATGCCAAACAATGACTATATGCCTATTGCTTGAACATTAGCTAGTGTTCAACTTAACATATGTATAAAATACTCAACATATTTTTCATTCTGTTATGCAAAAAGAAAACACTTCAAACAATAATAAAAACAAAATTCAACCTTCGTTATGGTGAATATCAAGTGAATTTTTCGTTCAAGAGCATAAAAAATAACAATGATTTTGATAAAAAAATGAATAATTTTATTTCCTTCTATATTCTAGATGAATTACACACGTATTTGTTTTCTGTATACAAACGAATCGTCTTAATGATAGAACACTCAAACAGCAATGAACTTCGTACAGTAAAATTGTCGGAACTTCTTGTAATGAAACATTCATATCACGATGATCTACGAAAAGGACACATAATATGTGGAGAAACTGAACTTCAAATAGCATTATGAGATAAGTAAATGAATCAGTTATGAGATAATATCACTGTTTGATTCCCAATTTATATCTAAAATTCTTAATGCATAAGTCAATGTCGTTGATGAATGATGATGATGTAGACTTTAATGACGGTTTTATATATTGTAAATGATAAATCTTAAAATGGTAAAATACTCCGATCTAATATATACATATAATATTATCAAAAAACTCTAAAAACATGTCGAAGATATGTAAATATAGAAAACAAATAAGATATTTACGGATATAAATAGATGATGATTTTTGTAGAATGAGATTGACTTCTTCATAAAAATTTAGGATAAAAGTTGAACGGTTAAAATGACACAGAAGAAACTGAATTAAAAATATACAAGAACAAGAAATCTTAAAAAATTCTGAATTTCTTTCTTATTGCATGAACAGTATCTTATTAATATTAGTTGCTACTGAAATTCTTTTGCTATAAATTTAGAAAGACTGGCAGATGTAAGTGTCAAGTCGTCTGAAATTGACAATGATCCTAAATTTCGTTTCCAAAATATGACTATTTATGCCATTCTTATGGTTATAAATATGTTCACACTTAATTTTGTAATAACACTGTATATGTACTCTTTCACATACAAACATTTTGAAGGCGAATAAATGAAACAAACTTTAGTAGAACTTTTAGCAAGACTAAAATCAGACTCAATAAGCATCTGATTTTTCATATTATTTAATTTGATAATTCTTCCTATAGATTATTACGAATAAGTATTGCAGTTTTCAGTTTATTTAATTGAATTTTCTCACCAGCTCATATACAAATACACAAAATCGATCTAGGGTGGAGTGTGGTAACGAGTAAGAGCACGAGTCTAGCACTTCATTCGTACTTTTGAAGCACTCATGTCATGTTTTTTTCCCTTTGGGATGTTCGTGCACTAGTATCGATGGAGTAACAACTTTCTCTTTATCCACATCTTCACTGTTGAGATTTTCGGAGCGTCGTTTAGGGAAAATTGGCTACTGTGATCTGAAGCAGTCATCGGTTTAAAATTATTTTTCTTTTCTGTATAATATTAATCGTGCTACAATATGATAAAAGTGTATAAGCGTTCATTTGGAATGAAAGGTCTTGTACATACGACATAAATTAAAACTCAACTAAAGAATTAGATTATTGTTTCGACGTAGCCAACATCAATGAAATTGCTTCCTTGAATTTCAATTTATGTAAGGTGTTTGACTTTCTTCTTTACAAGCGAAGAAGTATAAGAGTAGTGAGCAGAACGAGTGGCATAGAAACTTTATGAGTGGATTGTCTGTTCATAAAGTATTCTTTTGTTGCAATTTTATTCCACAGTATTTTCTTCATTCTCATACGGAATGAATTTTTAATGTACTTAGCTAAATGAATTTTCAACAAAACAAAATCAACTTATAATATGTAAACACACTGTTTACCTATAATGTTTTTCCTGAATATCATGTCATGAATCATTCGTATGAATGAAACTAAACTGCTTCTACTATCAAAAATCTGATACGAGCTTAATCCTTTGGCGCCTGAAACTTGAACTATAATAAAAGTATTTTTACGAAGAAGTGAATCTTTTCGAAATATCTAAACAATCGTTGTATTTATAGAATCAATTGTTTCTCAAAACACAAACAGTACCCAGTGACCTTAAAAATCATACAAAATTATTTAAATGATTATTTTTCAAATTTTCACACAAAAAATTTCATATTTTTAGTTATTTCAAAAACCTCAATATCATTCCATTAGTTTCGTTATGTTGATATAATTCTCATTTCATGAATCCAGTTATTTCGCAAAAAATGAAACTAGCTGCATTCATTTCATTAGGGTGTGGGTGTGGATGAGTAGAAGAAGGGAATCAACATCCACTCCCACACCCTCAAAACTACAAGAGCAAACTAAATGGATTCATATATCGGATAAAGGATGTATATCAAGTACTAACATATCAGAACGATGATCAAAATAGACAAACCTATATAGCCAAAATTATTGTAGAGAAAATAAAAAGAAAACAGCCAGAAAAAGATGCAAAAAAAATGTTTCAATAAAACTGATCGTTATTTGAATTATAATTATAATTTCAATATTTTGTTTATCAAAGAAATATTTTTAGATGAATTGTTACTTCACTTTATATTGATGTTGCAATAAAGCCTAATATAGTTTCATCTTTAAGATTGTTTTCATATCAGCATTAAACCAGTTTTGATATATCCTTCATCAATATACAAAAATAAGAAGTGAAAATAACTATAGCCCAATAGATTATTCAAATAAATTAATATTGATTGTACTACAAATTTTACTTTATTGTATGTAACTTTAATTATTTGTACATCGATTTTCTTCTTAAAATCACCATATTACAATGATATAAGATTGAAATCCTTCAAAAATTACAAAATTAATTATATTTTTTAAAGTTTTTTCCTGCATGTTTGCATGACTTTATAAAATAAATTTAAGGCGATTTTTTTGACGTCTGTATTGATATTTGAAATAAATATAAAAATAAATCAATTTAAATAATTTACAGAAAAAGGAATTCAGTTAGAGTTTTTTGCGGTTTTGAAATAATTGATCATACTTCATGCAAGCTTAATTGTAGTAAGTGGAAAGCTATGATATTACACAACCAGCGCGGCTGTTAGCTGCATTTGAAGTATCACTGAGTTCCCAAAGTCGATGAATAACCTGACGTGTTTTGTCTAAGCCACCATCAATATAAACAGCACCAATTAACGATTCCACAAAACTGTGGTACTTCGAAAATTGATCCTTTCGAACGCTCTGTCCAAATACGATGTAATCCTTGATGTTGAGTTTTTCAGCGATTTGACTTTGTTTCACTGATTCAATGAGCTCTTTTCGTTTATTTGTCAACTGACCTTCATTAAAATCTTGATTGCTACGATAAATTTGGTCACTAACAACGAAATTCAACACACTATCGCCAAGAAATTCAAGTCTTTGATACGTAGGTACACTACGATCATTCACTCGATTACTGTCGTGTGTTAAAGCTTCCTCCAAAAGTTTAATGTTTGTGAAAGAATAACCACAAGCATTTTGGATTTTCTTCAGTGCTTCTGTTCGATCCATTTTCGTTGTAGAGCTGGATATCTTAAAAGAATCTGAAAAGAAAGCAACAAACTTTTTATAAACCTAAAATCGGTCATTCGAAGTTCTTCAATAGAACTTTCGGCAGTGCGCTCCCTATACTTTGATCAAAGGATGAAAAACCACCGCACTCGGTAATGCGGATGTCTCTTTCATGTTAATTACAGAGATTTGTATCAATTATATTCATAGATATTGCTCGTCTATGTTGTAATAATATAATTTATTTATTGAAATGTTTCAGATATTTATGGTTTGATAAATACCTGTCACAACTTGGAATGCAACATCGCGATTTCAGGCCACTGATAATACAACATCTGCGATCAAGTTTATCTTGATGGATTTTTTTAATCCATCTGATTCTCGTTTTCCTTTTCGATCACTTGTTTGTTTGTTTTTTTAAATTTTTGCTTCGTATAACATATATTCTCTTCTGTTTCTTCTTTACTCAAGTATTTTTTCATTCAACATTGCTTCAATAATATCCGAGCACACTACAAGCAACATGTTACATTTCAACAAGATTTGGCATAATTCTCACGTGTATGCTGCATTTCTACTATTCTACGGCGATTAGCGAAAGTCTTATTGATAAAGAACAGGAGTCTTTGTTAAATGGATAATTAAACAAATGTAAATCATCTAATCTAAAGTTCATGTCAATTATAAAACCTATTGATAGTATTCTTACTGCTTAACTATTCTAGCATCAATTCATAGGTATAATGTAATTGTCTTAAAGATTTATATTCTTTGAAAACTATTGATGTTAAGTCGATGAAATTATTCTTAATTCAGAGTATATTCATTCTTTATCTAGATGAGCATTGAAATAGCACAGAGAAAAAGATGAAACCGTAAAATGATTTGTGGATCCTGTATTGAGTGTTGTTGTAGGAATTTCGACAATAATCTTTTTTCAGTTAATCTCGAGAAAAATATGAAAACTTTGTATTTGATTAGTTTAACTTACATTGGAGAATTTTGTAAGGTATTATTAAAAAACTGATATCACATATATTGAACAAGTTCATCCTATGTAGTCCGTCCATATCTACCAGTATATTAGAAAAATATGTTGTACACATGTCTAACTCAATGAGCTTTATATTCTATCAAACACTCAAATGAAATAGTTCCGATGAAAAATGTTGAGATTAATTATGAAAATTTTTATCAATCACTTTTAATTTACAAGCATTTAATAATTTAACTTAAAATTTCTATAATTAAAGTTATATCTCCTGTAAAACATAACTTTTAGAACATTTAATTAGATTGAATTTTGATTCGTTCAAATTCCACAAATTGGCGATTCATATCTTACTACTCACTCACTCATACAAAAATCTTTCATGTAAACATTATTCATAGAATCATCTTTGTATTTTATCGATATCTATTATGGTATTCTAAAACTACCGTTTGTATTATTATCTGGCTATTCATGCATGAAACACTTTCATAATGAAAATTACCTGCGAAGAAGTTAGATGATGAATATAGTTATATGTGACAAAACTTTATATATATATAGTTCATTTTCAGTGGGAAAAAACCCACTAAAATAGTATTTGCTTGTCATTCATTGATATTTAGTGCTCTCTCAGGTATCGATGATAAAAAACTTTTAACAAAATCAACATAATGGTAAAGATACAGAATTTTTTTTTATTTCTTCTGTATCTGGGTCATAGTGACGTTTTATTTATTTTCTTTTGTCCAGCAAAAAGTGATTTATTCATACCTATTCGTCCCTTTGACCATATATATTGTATGATTGCCCGCATATTTAATAAACTATTTGGAATTAATTGTATTGGACATGAACTAAACATGATTGTCGGAGTTACCATTCTATTTCTATTAAAGCAAGAATACGACAGCTTTTAGCAGATGCCGTTAGTTGCCAACATAAAATTCTCAATTTGCTTAAATTTCTAATTTTTATGAAGTATTTTTGCTTTGAGATTCGAAGAAATACTGCGTCTTGGAATCATACGTTCCAGATCATTGCTCAATTATGTTTACTGATTTATTAGCACGAAGAATTCGCATTGCATCAATTGAGTGCGCGTATGTGAGTGTCGTGTTAAGTGTTTTTCAGCTTTTTCGAAGTAATTATCTCTTTATCAAATTGATAAAGGTAATATAGAGCTTTTTATACGCCAAAAGAGCTGTTTGTGACAAAAACTTGAAAAACAACTGATAGAAAAAAATAAACATTAAATATTTAATTTAGTCGAATATTTTACTATAAGTCGACTCCAGTTTGATACATTCTTTTATGCTTGTTTCTCGACCTCTATAGTCCTGAAACTACTAGATAATCATTGTCATTGAGTCACTATCGCTTGATTTGTATTCATTGCTGATGTTCAAACACACCAAGATTGCAATAGGTTAATCCTCCAAGCATGAATACCGCTGATTCGTTTGACAACATTTCATTTGGTCATACGATCCTTAATATACAATGTATGAAATGAACAATAGTGAGTTGCTCTATCGAATTTCTCTGGTGTATTAAACACAGCTCCATCAATTAGCGTTATGACTCCCAAAGTATCACCCTGTATTCCCTAAAGTAGAGTTCTTATTAAACAGTTATTATTAATGAATATGATTGTATATAAACAACGACTGTCTACTTTGAACAATGCAATGGTAGTATCGACCTTTTGAAAATCTGAAAAATTAAAAGGAACATAAAAGAAGGACCACTCACCAATATTTCCTAAATTAATATTAAGACTATCAGTTTTTTTCTTAAATGATCAATGTTCTCTTAACGCTGTATATCGTTATTTAAGGAGCAAAGTATCAATTCAAATCATCATCGATCATGATGATAAAATATCGTGACAAATTTTTCATGCAATAAACATGTTGAGCAACTTTTTGAGAAGAGTCTAATTAGCAGATATTAAAAGTTCTCTATCGGACATATAATAAAAAAAAGTAGGTCAAATTACCCCATTGTTTATTCGAATTCAATCATTGTCTTGCGCTTTTGATTGTCGTTTATATTTTTACTTTGCTTTGAGGAATTGGCGACTGAGAGAAATACCAGTCACTCAATATATGTCATAACTCTGCTCTTTTGGATGCCCTATCTTGGCCAAAACTACTGCAGTCTTATACTAGCGCTTATGAATATTGGATGCTGCATTTACTAAATATCGAAAAGTTCATATTTACATATCTTATGAATACTGATGATCAATTAACCAAATGTACCAGAAAGTATTAGCATAACAAAGTTTTCGCGCTTGTAATACATGCATCAGAGAAAAATCTTAAATATTGGGGGCCGTTACATTCTGTCGTGAACTAAAGTAGAGGTACAAATGAGATCAGCATACTTGGAAAATTAGCATAGGTTTTGAGAAACGATCATTTGCTGATTTTCTTTAAATAGATTTTTTTTTATAAGGAATGCATAGGTAGGTATTAAAGAAGAATATAATACATTCAGTGTAATAAAATGTAGAGCTGTTTAAAATTCTTTATATTATGTTTTCCTCTGCTGATCATCAAACTAAGTGATTTTTCTTTCCTTTATTTTCTATTTTGGCTTTTGTTCGGCGTGCATGTTTCATGTAAATTTTTCAGAATATTTGTAGTAGCTAGATATTATACTTGTATAACAGTAGCCGTTTTTTATGGCAAGAATTACTGAATTAATACTATAAGAGAAAAGTAGACTGCGTTGCATTCTGTTTAGATAATATAATCTAAATCTAAATTCTATTTTCAGTTGATTAAAACTTGAAGTTTACTCAGAATTTTGAGTTAAATTTGGTTCTCACAATGTCCCTCCCAATCTCTCTAATCGATTATAATCAATAAGATAATTGAAATGAACTAAAAACTTGATTAACTCGGCTTTATTCAGTTCGAAAAAGTTAATGAGATTAGTAGACGTCAGCAAATATGAAAACATTTTAATATTAAAAATCAATTTTTGTAAAACATATTCTTTTATTTGACCATGTAATCTATAAAGAAGATAATGTATGGACATACAGCAGAAGGCGATATACCATATACAACAAGCGTATGCAACAGACATTCAAACAGTCCATTGACATTACTCATCTGTCTACTTTGGATAGGCACAAACCCTGATTTTTGAGCTGCTCGTAGGTTTCACAGATCGCCAATCTGTCATTCTTTTTCTAAATTTGAAAAACAAAAACAATCATTTTCTGAGTCGAAAAATGCAATTATTAAAATGTGCTGTGAAATATCTTTGCTGCTGAAAAATAAAAAATGATTTTTTTAGATAATTTTCATTGGATAAAATCATGACTAATAATATATTTGCACCATATAGTCCATCATTCGTTTATTTATTTATTTAAATATTTGACGAATTTTTGGAAAAGATCGATGAATCAATACGCCATCTGTCTTTGAAAATATCAACTGCCTGTTGCTAAGCAAGGACCTCTATGAAAAAAAGAGTCGATTTTACAAACATTGAATTTACTTTTGAAAGCGATCATAATCAAGAAACATTTATATCTTCATAGTGTAACAAGATAAATATATTAAACATTTTTAAATTATTAATAAATCGATTCACCAATAGTTAACGTAAGAAGGCAACAGAACTTATAATAAACAAACAAATGCTGCAGTCGTGGTGATATATAGTCATCGCTTATTTTTTTTTCGTCTTTCTTTTATCATTGATCGTTGTCTAGTATTCATTTAGTTCAATCTAGATTAATCAATCACAATGCCGTCTGTAGGAACGCTTGCTTTCGACGAATTTGGTCGTCCAGTACTTATTCTCAAAGGACAAGAATCAAAAAAACGTCTGTTTGGTATTGAAGCACATAAGGTTCATAGTTTTTTTATATTTATTTCGCATTTTAAAGTCGACTTTAAAAGAAAAGATTTACATTCAGTTCTTTTCTGATTGAAAATAAGATATTGTTTGAATATTTTTAAAAATTCAATTTATTTTA